AAAAAACCCAGCACAGGGGGGTCGCGGCACAGTGGTGACGTGGCATAGTTGGATCAAGTATAATGATATCTGACAGTGATTAAAATCACTATAAAAAAAAAACGCTTCGATGCTAATCTTTGATAGTGTGCAAGCGGGCTTTTATATTAGTAAATCAACAACGTGGTTTGCCACTTGCATAACGACTAGCTAGAGTAGCAAGGGTCGCCACCACCTAGGCGAGGTGTCATACCTATCAGATATGATTACCGGACCATAGGTGGAATTTAATTTTAAGTGAATTAAAAGTATAATCTAAGTTAATATGTCGTTATATGTATAAATTACTATAATGCCTCGTGGTTTATAGAACACAATTATGACAATCAAAGTTGTATGTGGTTGATATGTAAAACATACCGTAGCCCGTGTCTAGATTAAGGAATAGGAATGAAATACACGCGAGTAATTAAGTTACTCGCGCAATAAAATAAATATTACAATTGAAATTAATAAGGAAATTTAATTTAATTGTTAAAAAAAGAAAATTAAGTTAAACATGGACAAAAATGCGAATGCATCAAAAACCATGTCTACAAATAAAGGCAATACAAATAAAATAAAATATTTAAACAAATAATATTACAAACATCACGGACGGTATTGGAACACATCCGTTAATGTTAACAGGAAATTAATGAAGAACACCAGGAGCGGTCTGGACACTCGCTCCTTAGCGTTGGCTAGAAGAAAAGGGAAACACGTGCTCTCCACACATAAACAAAATTAAGTTAATTTACAATAAAATAAAATTAAATAAAATAATTAATAAAATATAGCTCATTACATAAATATAATATAAAAAAGAAAACGATACCCGGTCTCCGAAGAGACCCATCCGATGGTCTGGATGCTTCGCCGAAAAGACCTGGCCGTTCGCCGTTGGCGGCTCTACTCCATCATTGAAAAATATGTCAATAAAACAACAAATGTGTGCACCCTAGCACGGTCAATGACAGAAGAAAGAATAGAGAAGAGTCAACACCGATCTAACGGCAATTTCAAATCGATAACGGCCAGTCTTTTTGGAAGGGATCAATACTGATAAACAATTCGATTTTAATTATATTTCTCTTTTATCGCCTTATCTAGCGGTCAGAGGCAAAATAATGAGTGGTTGACACCGCTGTGTCAGAAAAAGGTTCTTTCGCGCGATAAAATAAATAAATAGACATAACAAAAAATCATAAACGGTCCACCTTCGAATTTGTGACGTTAATAGTGTTTAATTTTAAAAAATTGGTGGATTATTCCAAAAGCTACATGATCTACTAGTTCCTTATTAATATCCTGATTAAGATAAAGTATGTCGAATGAAAGAGGGATTATTAAAAAATATTATTTCTCATAAAAAAATTGTGTTGATCCATACACTTTTCAATAAGTTATAGATTTTTTTTTTTTTTCAGTCTTCAATCCTTAGATTGGTTTGCTGCAGTTCTCCATGCTTCCCTATCATTACTCAATTCCTTTAGTTCTTTATAACTATTCTTCCCCATGTCACTTATTATTTGCTTCATATACTCCATCCTTGGTCTTCCTCTTCCTATAGGGCCTTCAACGTCGCTTTCTATGACGGTTTTTGTTATACTCTCATGGCGTAGTAGATGTCCTATCATTTTAGCTCTTCTAACTTTTATGGTATGCCATAGTATTTTCTTTTCTTTTATTCTATTTAATACTGCTTCATTCGTTATTCTATCAATCCATTTAATTCTTAACATTTTACGATAACACCACAATTCGAAGGCCTCTAGTTTTCTTTTCTCTATTGCACTGATTGTCCAGGTTTCACAGCCATATAAGGCAATACTCCATATATATATTTTTAAGAACCTTTTCCTTACCTCTAAGTCCATACTATTGGTGGTTAGTAGGTGTTTTTTATTCTGGAAAGCCCTCTTCGCTTGCGCTATTCTACTTAGAATTTCATCTTTACAACGGCCATCTTCCGTTATTTTACTTCCTAAGTAGTTAAAGTGTTGTACTTGTTCTATGCGTGCGTTATCTATGTATATATTAAGTTGAGAAGGGTTTGTCTTGCTGCACGCCATAACCTTTGTCTTTTTTTTATTTAATCGCATTCCATATTTGTCCCATAATATTTTATTGACCTTAGTTAAAATATTTTGCAGGTCATTTTCTGTTTCTGCGCAGAAAGCGATGTCATCAGCAAATCTCAGAGCGTTAATTGTTTCTTCCCCTATTCTAACTTCTTGCTTTACTTCTATTCTTAGTTCTTTCATTACTTCTTCAATATATAGATTAAACAGCATGGGTGATAGGTTACAGCCCTGTCGTACACCCTTTTTAATTTTTGCTATTTCTTCTTTTCCATCTATACGTATTAATAAAGTTTGATTTTTGTATAAATTATATATGCATCTTCTGTCGTAATACTTAATTCCAATTGATTTTAAAATATCGAATAATATACTCCACTTTACATTATCAAACGCCTTCTCTAAATCGACAAAGGCTATAAATGTATCTTTATTTCTTCTAATTTGTTTTTCAATTAGTATTCTCAGTGTTAGAATTCCCTCCCTTGTTCCTATGTTTTTTCTGAATCCGAATTGATCTTTACCCAGATTTTCTTCTATCTTTTTATCTATCCTGTTTTTGATTATTCTGGTGATAATTTTGGCGGCATGTGTGATGAGGTTTAATGTTCTGTACTCTTCACATTTTTGAGTTCCTTTCTTTTTTGGAATCAGTACCACAATACCCTTCTCGAAATCACTAATGGCTCTTCCCTTTAAATATATTTTATTGCATATTTTGTACAGTTCTTTTTTAACAGCTACGTCTGTGTATTTAAGTAACTCTGCTGGGATTTCATCTACACCATACGCTTTATTGTTTTTAAGGAAGTCCATCGCATGATCAAATTCGGCCTGCAAGATATAATCACCTTTATCCTCCTCATCTACATTATCTTCTTCCTCAAATATCATAGTTGAATTATCCTCATATAATTCTTCCAGATATTCTTTCCATCTTTTAGCCTTTTTATCAGCTTCTAGTAATAATTCGCCGTTTTTGTTTATTAGGGTACCTGCGTTTTGTTTCCTTTCACGAAAAAGCTTTTTGGTTTCTGAAAACGCCAGGTCACTTCTTCCTTTATTTTAAAAATCTTCTATTCCCTTACATTGCTCATCTACCCATTTTTCTTTAGCTTTTTTTATCTTCCTTTGCACTTCATTTCGTATTCTTTTGTATTGTTGTTATTCTTGAGTGTTAATTTGATTTTTATACCTTCTTCTTTCCTTTATTTGCTTAACTATTTCTTCTGTCATCCAAGGATTTCTCGTTATAGCATTGGTGTTAAACTAAACAAATGACAATAAATAAGTAGACAAATTAGGACTATGTAGGTAATCAAGTTAAGGACTCAACAGTGACAGAGAATTATATTCTAATTATTTTTAAACCTTAAAAAAACTGTTAAATTAAGATGGTTTTTTTTTCTTAATTACTCTATGTTTAACTACATAAAATCTATCTATCTTCTTGAAATAATTTTGTTGCTGTAGGCATGTGTTATTGAAATTATTTAATATTTTACGAATTTTTCAAAACTATCATGATAGTTATTGTGTTCCTGTTTTTCCCAAGCATAAAGTAAATGGCAAAAAAGACATTTCTATTTTATTAATTTTAAAAAATATATATATATAATAAAAATTGATCACCGATGTGCCTAATATTATATGAAATTAAAAATATTATTAATTTAAAACAAATCATAATAAAATGCTATGCTTTTAAAATGTTATGCTTCTCAACTTCACATTGAAGCTAAAATATTTAATTCACAAAGCCACAAAAAAATTACTAAAAAATCACTAATACATAGAATTAACAAAATTAAAAATCAAATATAAATGCATTATAAGAATATTATATACATTACAGAATTGAGCAAACATAGTATGCTAAAAATAAAAAACGATTAATTTTTAAGAGAGTTATAGATATTTAAACATTAATATTCCTGTCTTTCCTCACATTCTCATAATTTTGAAAAAGTTTCAATAAAATGTAAATATATTTTTGTTAATTTAAAAAACTGAAGCAATAAATACACATAAAACAATAAGTATATGTAAAAAAAATTTTTATTGAATTTTATGAAAGTAATTATGACCAAAATTTGGACATTTAGTTACCTCAAGTTCTTCATCAATTGACTAGGCAAGACATTTTTAGTGAAAAAAATATAAAATATTTTTTCTTATATTATTGTAAAAAATGTTTACAATAATAATTCTAACCTGAGCTATTCTTTCTAAAGATCCTTCTTGGTTGGTTACTAGGCTACGATCAAAAGTAATTACCATTTCAATAACTCGAAGTAATGTCACGGATAGAGCGTAACATGTTGAACACATTTTTAGTTTACTCATAATCTCTGCAGTTTGAGCTGTTTCATTATGAATTTCTATGTCCTTCACCTAAGCAAAATATTATATTGAAGTAGATACAATAATCAATATTATATTAAATGAATAAAATACACCCACTTCTTGAAATAAACTAATAAACTCTGAAAATGCCCAGTTCAGATGGTTTAGTGAATTATTTAAAAAGTTAGATGCCAAATATTTATCACTAGTTATTATCGATTTTATATCATTTTGAAAAACATATGCTGCTGGTCTTTCTACAAACATGAAAAAAATTATAACTAATAAAATCCAAGTTATTTTAATTTTCAACAGAGTCAAAAATTTACAAATCAGTGCAATTTTTCGCGTTGATTTCAAAGTTACAATTATATTTTTTTCTATTACCATGAAGTTTTGATATTATTACTAATTAGTTCAAAAAAAGTATTAACAAATTAAAAAAAAATGAGTTGAACATTTTTTTCTAACTCAAAAAGAATTAAGGAAAAATTGCAACAAAATCACGGCCACCGGCAGATTTGAACCTCGTACCTTAGGTGTAACAAACATTGGTGATACCAATTAAGCAAGCGTTCATCAAATTTGTTTTTCGATAAAATTGGCAATTTCAGCTAATTAAAATATTAAAGTTACTTTTTTTGACTTTAAAAAAAAAAATTAATGAGTTTAATTTTATATTCTATGGCAATTAAAATTATATAATGTTCATGAAAATCAGTGTACTCCCCTTATTAGGTATATTAAAATAAATTAAAATACAATATCAAGAATTTGAACACAAAAATAGCATGTTTTTTAACTACAGCAACCATTTGCACATAGAAGATAAGCCGTCGGGACAAATTTTACTTTTGTACTTGTAGTATATAACATAAGCTTTATTTTAACATATATTTGAAGCTCGGAGTATTTTCAGAATATTTTTAAAGCTTAAGTTAAAAAAGTTAAATTTTTGTGAAGAAGTTGCTATTTTGAATCCCTCCCTGTAGGCAGATAAAGAGCCAGATTTTTAAAAAATGTATATAAATGAAAGAGGAATACCTAAGTTAATTATTTAAAAAAAATAGATTTTGATTCGTTCATTTTTTAATAAATTATGGCAATTTTAAAAAAAAAAGTTTAAAAAATGTAGAAATTTACCGATTTTAAAAATCGTAATTTTTTAAGAGATTTTTACTAATTAAGAGGAACGAGGGTAAAATTTTCAATTTTTGAGGGCAATGCCTTCAACTAGAAACAATTTGTGATCTTTTGATGTATCGTTGAAAAAAGTCGGTCCAGTGAGAGCTGAGAAAAAGTAGTGACAGACACACAAAAAAAAAAATTAATAAAAAAATAATTGCATCATAGTAAATTTAATACCTTCTTAGCTTCGCATCAAAGCTAAAAGTCCCTTCAAACATTTTGTTCAAAATTCAAACTCGCATATGAGATTTATTTATATTTTTAAAAATTCATATATACCTTTTCCCATGTTAATGAACAAAATATCTTCAATTGTCTCTTGAGGAGGTATTCGTCGGTTTTCTAAATGAGGCGGTTGAGTATGTCGAAATCCAAATCCAGATCCATACCAAATTAACATCAATACAATATTTGTTTTTGCCCATATTTTCTGATCCAGTGGTTTGAATATTGAATGCATTGCATGCAAACGACTATTATTATAATAATTTAATATTTGAACTCATATTTATATAACAAAAACTACTATAAATAAAATAATAATAATTTGTTTCAAAGTAAACACATAATGCTATATTATTTTACATAGTCAAATAAATTTTATATTCAAGTTTAAAAATACTATTCAAAAATAGATGTCCAACATTTGAGCCCCAATTCAAAGTTTCTTTTTTACCTAGTTAACTCTAATATATCTCTTTTCTTTTTCAGTAGTTCAAAACATATAAATAATAAGGTCTGACAATAAAGAGACGTTTTTTCACACTCATGATGGGTCTACCTCATTATTCAAAATGGGTTGTACTTACTATATACCAAGTCTTAATACTCCTATTCCATCAACCTGAATCCCCTTTCTTCTTCATTTATTACCGAGTGCATTGCTATTGTCAATGCATTATTCTACATTTCTGTTTCTCTGGATACTTCTTTTTTCATCTGCTCAGATTTGCAGGCAAACCTTTTTGCTATTAATATTAACCCCTTTGGTTCTCAAACTTTCCCTATAAACTTTTAATTAGAGCACTTCTCAAAATTTTACTTTTGGTAAAGAAGTTCAATTCCATTGGGTCCCTAGCTATATCAGGGGATCCGCAGTAACAAGTTCGCAGATTTTCATCATTTCTATGTTATTCTTCCTTTTTTCTCCCTTATTCTGATGCTTTACATTACTTTAAATCTACCTGATTGAAGCGTGACTCACCAAGTGATCTTCTCTCCCCGTCTATTTTTTCTTATCTTGTCCACGTTTGACGCTACACCTATACTCCCTCTTATATATTCGTCCTTTATCCTATCTTCTCTAGTCACTCCACTCATCCATCTAAGCATTATCATCTAGGCTACACTCATTCTCTACTCAAATCCTTGTCAACCGCCCAACAATCTGAATCATACATATAGCTGGTCTCACTACAGTCTTTAGAACTTACCTTTCATCCTTATTGGAATTCTTTTATTGCATAACATATTAGACGCTTCTCACAACTTCACCCATCCTCCCCCACTTTTTACCCTGGTACAAGTACCTATACATTACCTCTATTATTTTAATATACCTTTTTGACACTCCTTTTCTCATTATTGCACACTTTAAAACCTCTCTCGTTATTTTATCATATGATTTCTCCAAATCTATTATATACCTTACATTGTGATAATCTTTAGACCTTTTTTTCTCTTACTTTTGAAAGTCTACAGACATCTTTTTCACCTTCCTTTGTTCCTAGCATATCAAACAACTTATCATACCTTTTAAATTTCGCCTTACTTGCTGCACACTTGGCTTCTTTACACAATCATTTATACCCTATCTAGTCTTATCACCTGTTACTCTTCTGTCATACTTTAAACTGCTTTTTCTTACTCTTTATGATTTTCTGAACGTTCTCATCCCATCACCAGGTTTCCTTGTTTTCTGGCATTCTACTTCTACTCTCACCAACAATCTCCATTGTAGTATTCTTTACACGATTATCAAAGCTATTTCACACAACATCTATGTTTCCCTCGACATTTCACACCGTCCTCTCTTTTATCGTCTTTAAAAACTCTTTCATTTTTCCTTTTCAATATTTACTACCGGATCCTCGAGTTCCTCCTGCATATAATGTTCTTCCCTCTTTCTAAAATAAGTATTAACCACAGCAAGATCATACGATATTGCAAAATCCAGGATTCTTTCTCTAGCTCATTCTTCCCACTAAAATCATACCTTCCATGTACTCATTCTTCTCATTACCTACATGTTCATTCATATCTCCACCTATTACCTATTACCCAACCCAACCCAACCACATCCTCATTACCATATATTTCTTGCATCACCTCATCCAACTCTTTCCAAAACACTTCCTTGTCTATTTCATCACATCCTATTTGTGGTGCACAGGCAATTATCACATTCAACACTTTTTCATTGAAAATGAATTTTACGACTATAATTCTGCCAACTTCTCCTAACTACTTCTTCTACTTTACTTTTCATCTCTTCGTCCATTATTATCCCTACACCATTCTTTGTATTAGACTTACCTAAGAATAATATTTTGTCACCTAATTCCCTTACTTTCTATCCCTTCCAATTAGTTTCCTGCACACAACAAATGTTTTCCTCTTCAATTTTTCTACTAATTCTCTACTGTTACAAGTTAATGTTTCAACATATCACATACCTATTCTTATTTTGTATCTATTTTCTATCTAAGTTTAAAAACATTAATATTTTTATCTCAAGCCCTGCAGTAAAAAAATACACAAAAAACAATTACTTTTAAAATATGATATTGGTTGATTTAAAGAAAAATTATTACTATACAAAAATACATTTTTATGAATTAATGATACCTTGAATCTGAAGCAGATTCTAAAATTTGAACAGAATGAGGATGTGTAAAATACAATGTTATGCCTTGTAAAATTATATCTTTTGATTTAGGATGAACTATTCTAATATCTTCAAAATGTTCAAGAAAAATTTCTCCTATCAATTGAGCTAACCATTTTTTGTCTAAAAATAAATAATAATTTTTACTATTACTAACCAGTTCTAACTAGTTTACAAATATAACCAAAAACATTATTACCTGTAACAATTCCTTCATACTGCTGAATTGCATTAGTATAATCTGGTAACATAACTGTCAAACCTAATAAATTATCTAGATAGTATTCTGGTAAAAATCTAAACAGCTCCTCTTCATATTCTGAACAATTTTTAATCGTACTAGCAACCACCATCAACATCCAAGATAAAATTTGCTCTTTAGAATCAAAAAAAATCATACTCAATAACCAAGCCATATAACGAGAAGTGAGGATTAAATTATGTTTAACTCTCTAAAATAAAAAATATAAAATGTTAATGCAAATATATTTTTTAATTTGATCATAATTTAAAACTTTTAAATTTTCTTCATTTTCTTCTTTATTTTCTTTTGATGATTTTATTTCATAATTTATCACAGCATACTCGACTGATAAATCAGCTAAACGTTCTTTAAAAGACACATACTAAACAATCATACAAATAAAACTAATATTTAAAGGAAATACAATTTTTTATTGCAACAATATTTACTTCAACCAACTGTTTATGCCCTGCTATGCTGTATAAACAAATTATATTATTAAATATATCTGAAAGAACACTCCTTGTATCAACAAAAATGTTATTATATTCAGATGAAATTCTTTTAAAAACATTTGTCGATTGTATAAAATTATCTTCAACGTCTCTATCTTGTGTAATTGCCACAAATCTCGACAAAATTGCCATTAAATTAGCTGTTGGATCTGCTTCAACTATGTCATCATCTTCAGCTATATCATAAAATTATTTTGCAGGTTTATTGTACATAGCATTTTATGTGTTAGAAGAAAAATTAAAACAAATTTTTTATGAGGGGCAGAAACAATAAGATAACCAGGATATGAATATTTATTCAGCAGCCTTTTTATATTCATGCACTGTTTTAACTTCGCCCGCAATTCTTTTTTTTTCATCTATTTAAAACTGCCTATCAAAGAATATGTATATATTTTATATATGATTAGAAAGAATGAAATCAATTTTTATTAATCATATTAACACCCCTGAAGTACCAGTGTTTTTTTAAAAATTTGAAAAAAATTATTTTCTATTGTCTTCGTATCTTTGTCGTCATAAATTAAATAATAGACTTAGAACAGTGATACTAACAAAAACCATATGCAAGGCAAATTATAAAACAAATCTGTAATAAAAATATATATTAATATTTTGGAAAAAAATTTTTCATTGAAAAAATCATATTTAAGAGCTCTTTTTAAAATTTTATTTCATTTATCCAATTATAAGTTAAGACTTAGGAATATTAAGTGATAAAATATTCATATTCTTAATAAAAGTTGATCATTTTTGCAATTAATAAAATTGAACAATAACTTTCTCAATTTTATTTTTAGTAATACAAATTATTCTATGAGAAATTTTCATAAATTACATAGAATACTGCTTAATGAAGAATTTCCATGGTCATTCACAAACTCAAGTAGTTTAGTATTTATCTCTGTTTTGTATTTTGTTTTTAGATAGGGAAATGTTCCTCCAATTCTTTCAGTCCCAATAAAATTTAAGTGATCAAAATAAAAAATATTTGGATAAATTTTGACAAGTTTATACTCCATTAACTCTTTTCTCCAAATTAATTGTATTACCATTGCTAATCTAAAAATTGTACTTAAAATAACTGGACCAGGTAACTTTAGCATTGGATCACTCTGAATAAGAAAAAACACAAATTAAATTAAAACACCACAGTATATATTAATTCTGAAAAAATATTATTTTTTAATCAATAATTAGTTAAGTAATTTAAGTTTATAATAAGTAAAGTAATTTCTTAAAGTTAAATCAAGAAATAATTAAAATTTAACTGACAATATAGATTAAATAAATTCATGACATAAATTATAGTTAAAATTTTGTAATTACTCTCCAATACATCATGTTTTCTTGAATAAAATTATGAAACCTTCTTGAAAATAGAACTCTGGAGCTTACTTCCATTTCAGTTTGATCATTATCGCACAATAACTTTTCTAAAAATATTATTTGAAATTCTTCTATACCTAAATTACCATTATAAAAAAAATAATTAATTCAAATTTTTATTAAATTAGAGAAACTTTTATTAACTTAACTATTAACTACTTCTTGAATTCTTGCACAAGCATTTTTATATGATGTTTTATTATGTTTTGTTTTATCAGTTAAAAGGGCAGATAGAAGTTTAAATTTAATGTCCTCAATTATTGCAATATTTTCAATACTCCAGTAAACATCAGGTACAATAATTTGAAATATATCATCTGATGGAGCAATTATATGTAAAAAATATGAAAACCTGAAAGACGAAATCACAAGTAAAGAAATCGATGATTTATTCAATAAAATTAAAAAAAAAACATAGATATCTAAACATGTTATTCATTCATACCTAACTTTGTCAAAAAATATCTTTTTTATTAAATGTCTTCTAGTTTTCCTTTCAGAGCAAAATTCGATCAATAGTTTGAGTATAAGTATTTGATATGAAACATCAAAACCATTTCTCCAAATGCATTTAAATTCGCTTGACATATAAAACAAAATATTTTCCAAAATAAAAATCATTTTGTTTTCCTAGGAACATAAGATTTACTGTAATTAGTAATTAATATGAACATTTATGAATTATCTTCAGAGGAGGCAGCAATGGCTCTTTAAAAATAGAATGAATTATTTAGAATAATCTTAGCCATATTACAAGATTTAATGAAAAAAGATTATTAATATTATTATATTAAGTTTTAGAGGCTTGATGAGATCAAGTATGATTGAGTATAAGAGTATGAAGTTATGCTCTTATAACTACTAGATGAGGGTTGGGGAATAAATGTAAGAAAACTTTTACCACTCATAAATTGTAAATTTAACAAATACATTTTTACTTCAAGATATCTGTCTATAATATTAAAATTTATTAGTTATATATAAATAATTACTCATAATAATAATCAGTGGCATATCCAGGGGACTAAAATGGCTAGGTGACCCCTAGCTGTGCTAAACCAACATTTTAGATAAATAATCATCTTAAAATATTTCACTAACATTTTTTTGGTATAAGCTCCCTCATTGAAAAATCTTGGGTATGCCAATGATAATAATAACCACCACCTATAAAAACAGGATTATTTTTATTACAGATGAGATTTGAAAAACATTTCTGAATAATTAATTTCAGTAAATAAACTATCAAAATTTTACCAATAAACTATTAATATTTATTGAAAATCTTACAGGTAAATATTCCCACATTATTTTAAGCAACTCTATTACATCTTTTGGTTTCTTTTTATACAAAGATTCAATACATTCAATAACATAATAATCTATTAAGTATGGTATTGACATTAAAGTTCCAAATTGCTTAAATAACACTGTCTTAATAATATTTCTAACTATACTTTGATTAGTTAATTTTTTAATGTCTTTGGTCTATAATTTAAAAAATAATGCTAATATTATAATTTATAAGAATGAAAATATATTTTAAATATTTACTCACAGATAACTGTAAATTAATAGATGATTCTACTACATTGTATATTTTAGGTTGAAGCTGTTTTAAGTAATTCATTAAAATAACTGGGGTATCAATTAATGGCCTTGCTCCACTAACATTAAACTTGAATGGTTTTTTACCCAAATTAACTGATATTCGCTCTTCACTAGTTAACCCTATTGTTGGATAAAAGGTTAAATCTTTAACATTCACATTTTCAAAAGCTTTTCCTAATGGTTGACCATTACTTAAAGTTAAAAAAAAAAATTATCTATTATATTTCTACTTATTATTGAAAGAAATTAAAATATTTCTAAAATAGAATTGTTTTTATTTATAAAATGCACATTAAAAAAAGTTGAATGATAATTAAAAATTAATACTTGAAATATTCGATAGTTTGGTTGGTAAAATCAAGTACACAACCAATTACATTTCCGACTCTCCACTTTTTTCCATATATTGAAATATTTGAATTATGAGTAGCTTCTGTGCGGTAACCATCAAAACCATATGAATCTACTGTTTCACCTAAACATAAAATAAAATAAATAATTAATTAATTAATACAGTAATATATTAATTTTTTATATTTATTAAAAAAAATGAATTAAGGTAAAAATAAACATTGACTTCATACACAAATTTCAACTATGTTTGAATACATACTTATCAATATTTAATTACAGTGGTGTAGACAGGGAACCAAGGTGACCTGGCGCCCACAGTAATAGTAATGTTCACCTCTAAAATAAAACTATTTAAAGATTTTTTTACTATGACCCCCTTCCCATTATGTATTCCTAGATTTGCCATTAATTACTTACAAACGAAAAAAGTAAAAAAATGATAAATATTATTAACATCATACAATAGTATTTAAAAATAGGGGCTACTTAGTTCTAAAATTCAAAAAATATTTTCTTGTTGAGCTCATTATAAAATACCCTAAATAATTAATTGCAATCATAATTTCATCAATTTTCAGTTATAATGATGGTAAAAAAGTTCTAAACCAGAAAAAAATGTTGCTGTTGATTTAAAGTAAAAGGACTACAAGATTCTAAAGGTAACAGTACCAGGACTTATGATTTCTGGTACTAGGATGAGACTACAGCTCATACAGCATGTTTCTACAAGAAATTTTTCAGGAATTATTTCCAGGACTCTTTGTACAAAGCTGTTTTATGATAACTGTGTTAACCTGATTTAAATCTCAACGATTGCTTTCAATGGAGTACCTTACAGTTAATGTTTTGAAATATGTTATACATTTTTGAATAAACTAATAGTTTCACAGAGAAATTTAAGGTATTTCAAATATGTTAGACACAATTATAAAAAAACTTCCAAGGAAGGCTCCAAATATGTATCAAGGCCACTATTAAGGCAACCAAATTTTAACAACTTTATTTTAAAAAACCTTTTTTTATCTACAATTGAAAATTAAATATTTATGAAGTTATATTTCACCATATTTTTTTCAATCCCCTATGAAATTAATGAATTATTTCTGATGTACTCTGTATTATATAAGAACTTGCATAATATTTTCATTCAATACAACTTTAGAATATCAATGTATAATTGGAGATGTTATTGATATGTGTAGGATGTGAAGTAGTCAATGCACCTCATTACTTTAAGATAGTAAAATTATTAACATAATTTATGTACATTCTTAAATATTACCAACTCCCGAAGAATCTGTAAACACACAAGATTTAGTAGCCCATCCAATTTTCATTGAACCATTTGAACATAACTGGACTTCATATTGATACAATCCATGATTAACTCCAATATTAGCTTTGATAGTAGCTAATCCACTTCTACAATAGATAGTATCAAATAGAGTAAAAGAAACGGCTCCATAACTATTTTTTGTGTCAAAATACTCTACATTATTGAAAGAAGCATTTTCTCTAACAATAATTTCCTCAAATTCAGCAGACTTCCCTAACTCTTCTATAGCTGTTATCAAATTTTCTTTACTGTAATATAAACAGCAAATAAAAATTTAAATAACTCTTCAAAGTAATTTAATTTTAATAAAACTTAACATATTCATGATAAAAGGGATTAAATAAAATATTATGGCATACTTAAGAAAGATATCACTTGAGTATGAAAATTTTTTCAGCTCATTAATACTGTTTTTTCCAAATATTTGACCAATTTCTTTTGAAGCAATTTTTCCTGGATAAAATTCTTTTTTAAATTTTAGGTTATATTATAAAAGTACACACACAAAATAAGAACAAAGTGGTAGATAACTAAAAATATATTTTATAAAAAGTGATAAATTAAAAAAATTTCAACTTTGAATAACATTTTGTTAATTTAATATGGTTTTTTGTGATGTGCTCCACCGTCTCAAAAGCGATTTTCATATATCTTTAAAACTTATTGCACTATTTTAACAAACTGTTCTTTAAAAATAATAGTAGAAATAAAATATAATTATCGAGAATAATATTATGTATTGAAAGCTACAAAAAAATATGTTATTAACATTTTACAAAATAAAAAAAGTACTTAAAATTAATTTATAAGAGTATTTATAAAAAATCATTAAATTCTAATGATTTAAATTTCATAAAAAAAAATCATTGTTTCATGGTGAAATTTTGGATAACATTATTATAAAACACGTAATTTTAAAGCTTAAACAATGTAAAATATGACTATTTTTCTAGTCTTATTATAGTCCATTTTGCTAGTGATATTAAAAAAACGTAACAAAATGAACCGATTAAATTTTTAATTATTTATTTTATTTTATTGTTTTACCGTCCAATGGAAAATCGAGTTCATTATCTTCGCTACTCATTATGAAAGTAAACAAATATATGAAGGCAATTGATTTAAAAAAACAAATGTTCCAATCAAATATTCTACGAAGTAAAAAATATTTCTATTTTGGTAAAATTATAATCATAATCATCTCAAAAAAATTTAATTTAACGGTATCATTGGAAACAAACGAAAATATAAACGGAAAAGACTACTATAGAATAATTTTATCGTACTTATAAAACTTACATCAAATTACAATTTGTTTTTGATGAATTTTGAAGACAGTTAATGCAGTACATCTGAAGTTTTTTTTTAATTTTTACTTTGGAGTACTAATAACTATACAGATTTTTAAAATAAAATTTATTGTATATAAGTTTCTAATGCAATTTCTTTTTTATTGTGTTATTCTTTAAACAAAGCGTGATTGCCGGATGAGATTCTTCTAAATTCACGTTTTTAACCTCTAGGTCAGGACAACTCTTTGATGAGATTAATAAAATCAATTGTTAATCATTTTCAATATATGCCCCTTAAATTTTGCTGTTTAGGACTATTAACCTTTTGACCTATCTTAAATACGCTACTACAAATTATAATGTAAATCACAAAATAAATTTTTTTAGTGAGTAAACATAAATCTACTGTAGCTTAACAAAAGTGTAATGAAAAAATTTTTAATTTAATTTTATATTACATATAATAATTTACATAGACATATTTATTATGATTAATTTTGATCTTCATTAGGATCAAAATGCCTGAACATTTTCAAGAAAAATTCGGCATGTTCCATAAAAAAAGGGTTTTTGTTTTCATGAATCCTTAGAAGAATTGTGTGATTTTCAGCGATTAAAAGCTGCCTCTCTAGAGTAGTTTTTTAAACACAAATTTCTAGGTTTTGAAATTGTTATAATGTAAAACTTTGATACCCCAAAATATCACTTCTTTTATTTTTTGTCTTGCGGCACTGTTGGTAGCAATGTTAGACACATTTCTTTTAATAATTCTATGTCATAACTCTTACTTTTAATTTTAATTAAGAAATTCTCAATATTTCTTGTTGTTAATTAATAAAATTATGTTTGTTTATTAAATCAATTTTCTTGTAATAATGATGATTAACTATTTAACTAAAATTATGAAGTTGTAAGTATGTTGAGTAAATTACCAATAAATTTTAATTTTTAAGTGTAATAATATTACTATTCAATACTCAATACAGTAGAAATAAATATAAATTATTTTTGTAGAAAATTTGCAGTTTTTCACCAACCAAGTCGTCCCATGACCACTCTAAAACAAATTTCTATGCGTCTGAAGTCCATTAAAAGTATACAAAAGGTAACAAAAACTATTAAATTAGTATCTGCTGTTAAGTATGCTAATGCTGAATATGAACTGCAGCTAGTTCACTCTTACGGAGAAAGAATAACAGTAAGTTATTAAATAAATATACATTAATAAATTACAAAATAATTTACTTATTTTTTAAGCCATTTTTCAAAAAGTATTGTGCTACAGAAAATTTTGAATGTTTAGAAAAAGATAATAAGTTGATTGTAGCTATCACATCAGACCATGGTTTGTGTGGAACATTAAATACTAATGTTTCTAAAGCAATACTTAATGAACTAGCTGTTGAATCTACTAAATGTATAACTAAAGTAGTATGTGTTGGAGACAAATCAAGAGTGTTATTGCAAAGGTTGTATGTAAATGATTTATAATTTGTACAGGCCTTGAATTGGTGATACAAATTTTTCCTTTTAACTTCTATTTGTCTAGTAAAATTTTATTATAATAATTTTTATAATTTAGTAAGCATTACTATTAGTATACTAATTTTTACAAATGATTTCATCTTTCTAAAACATTTTTTTATATTAAAGTTTATTAACAAACTACTTTCTATAGATTTTGCGCTGAAAAAATTGCAGTTGTTACTAATGAAATTAGTTGTAAGCCTACAACATTTTTGGATGCCTCTAAGGTGGCTATTCAATTACTTTCCTTGGATTACACTTGTGGAAAAATAGTTTTTAATAGATTAAAGTAATAAAACAAAACTACTGTGCTTAATAATACTGATAATTTGTTAATATTTATACTCTAAATTATATTTAAGATCTATTGTGGCTTATCAAATAGCAGAAATTCCATTAATCAGTTTCAAAACTATGTTAACAGCACCTATGTTACAAGCATATAACAGTCTTGATCAAAGTGTTGCAGAATCCTATCAAGATTTTACAGTGGCTGCATTAATTTACTATTCATTTAAACATTCTGTTTGTAGTGAACAGTTGTCCAGAATGACTGCTATGGATAATGCGAGTAAAAATGCAAGTAAGTATTATATTTTATTAGAAGTATTTATAATATTATCAAATTTTAAATACATTTATCAAACAAAGAAATTGATTGTTTTTGTAATTTGTATGCATTTATCAAATTATTTGAACATACATTATTGTTTGTTAAATTAATATCAATATTTTATAGTTTTATTTTTATACTATTCAATAGTTTTAAAGTTCATCAAGTTGTCCTTCTATAATCAATAAAATATTATCATAGGGTAAAATGTTGGTCATATAACGCACAAATTTATGGCATAAAATTATTCAGAAAATGTATAAGAATATATTTCAAATTTTTTTAATTAAAAAAAAAACCAATTTATAAATTTTCTTTTTATATTGAATAGATGAAATATATAAAAAACTTACATTAAAATTCAATCGCACTAGACAAAATGCCATAACAAGAGATTTAATTGAAATTACATCAGGAGCTGGAATTTCAAAGTCGATTTAGGTTTGCAATTGTATAATATTATAAGTTTTTATATTTTTATAAATTTAAAAAATATTTATCTACTATGCATTCAGATGTATATAAATCATATTTTTCAACATGTATAATTATAGTTTGCAAAATTATTATTGTTAAAAAATTGACTTTCATTTCGTTTTTAATTTTCTATGATGATAACAATTTGTTTATTATTTCATATCTATATATATATATATTTTGTCTTGATATAAAATTATTATGAGTTATATTTTTTCAATTTAAAAATAATTTTTTTAATTTAAATACAATTTGAAATTTTAAAATTATGAGAGCATGTCTATCTATATTCAAAATATGATCAACAGGACTGATGGTCCAGCGTTTCTCAGCGTAAAGCCTTGGCTGGCGCGGGTACAGTTAACCTCGTTAATATTTATTATTACAATATTTTTAATATCCTATACGTCAACTGCCTATGCATTACCAAAAAGTTATGACAAAGCCGTAAAACTGATGGATACTAACATAGAGTACTACTGCTATATTAATTAATATTAGGATTTTTACTCTGTTAGGCACATTTTATGCTGTTAATAAATGAGGGCCACAATAACATTTAAAACTCTTCATAAATAATATAACTAATATATCTGAATAAATATTATTATGTTTGAACTATATTAATATGAATTTAATTATTTTTAATATTTTTAAATTAAATAACTACTTAAAGAAAAACGAATAACAATAATATTCTTTATAATAATTATAATTATAAAATGTCAAAATTTACTGATTTTTATATATCGTAATTTTTTTGAGAATGTCCCCCATTTACAGCAAATGAGGGAAGTTTTTCAATTTTTTAGGGCAATGTCTTCAACTAGATATGATTTGTGATCTTTTGTAGATTTTTAAAAGGAATTTTATAACGGTTTTAAAAGAAACGCCGACTACTATTTTCTTAATTATATCATAATTACAAGTTTTTTGATTTATTATTTACATATGAACAATTTAGTATTGTAATTTTTACGGATAAATTATAAAAAAAATGTATAATTACATTGTAACGTAAATGTATATTTGGTTATATCTATGGCAAACATGTATCAAAATTTTAAGTATGGATTTATAAAAAATAAATAAATAAAAAGAAAGTATACTCCCTTAATTTGATTATTCTGACCTTCGTGTGTTAATTATTATTTCAGTTAGAAAATTAATTAGTAGCAGATATAATTAATTACAGAAATTATAGTATATATTATATATTATATACTATATAATAAGCCATTGTTGGCTAGAACATTTTTCTTGTAAAGGGCAGTTCATTCATTGTTATATACTTCATGTATTGACTTTAAAAACAGCAACAATTCTCCCTAAAAATATTTATAACTAAAGCCGGATTCCCACGAATGGTGTACTTGCCAAGTACACCAATAATTGTATACTTGCCAAATCATCCAATTATTAACAAGTGGAGCATTCCCATGATTGATATACTTGACAAGTATACCAGTACTTGTACACTTGTACAAGTAATAAATAAAAGCCAAGTATACTATTCCTACGACTGGATCAAATGCCAAATAATTGTATTGGGGGTGGGACCTGAAAAATATTAAGTCATGTATCATTTGCTTTTTTAGCACTGCAGTGTTTGGACGTTTCAGTGAGTGATTTAAAATACATTTTTTAGTATTGCTAGTTTCGATACTTTTAGTTTATTTTTTTTTTTAGTTAAAATAGTTCTTTAACTTTAACTATAATTTTTAGTTTTTATTTATCTAATTAACCTTAAGTTAATTAAAATGGCTATTTATGCTTCATACATAATTATGTGTGGAGAGTACTTAAAGTACAAACAATTAATTGAAAAAAAAATACAAAAAAAAAAATGTAAAAATGTTACCGTAAAATAAGATGAAGGTTTTACTAAACTTGACCAAACAATTGAACAGCCACCACTTCAAAATAGAATTTTGATAGCGAAATGCATTCATTTTATATCATTAATACACTTATTTACTTTTTTTAGTAATTTGGCATTTCTAGTAAAGCCTTTTATTTATTTACTACCTATATTCATTTTTAGCTTGCATTCTTATTATGATTACTTACAGGTGATACTTACTGATATAAACGTCAAGAGTTATCAGTTTACTTAATTTCGATGAGCAGTGTTGGTTGCAAAAACAAAAATTGGGCGATTAATTCATTTTTATTTAATTATAGCCATCGAAGTTTGAAATAAAACTATTTTTACACACATAGTTTATTTATTTATTTATGTATAATATACGGGTGTTAACCCTTTTACAATTAAAATATTTATAAGTACAGTAAAAATCATTAATAACATAAATAGTTACAAAAAAAAAATAATAATGACATTTTTGTAGTTAATAAAAAATATAATAATAATAAATTATACAAGAGAATTTGAATTTAAATTTAAGGCCAAATAAACAATTCTGTCTGAATACAAAACGCTACATAGAAAAAAATATATATATTAGTTCTAATATAACTTTATAAAATAGAAAATGCTATTACTATAAAATATTTTTCAGTACTAAACTGTATTAATCTTGTTTTCGGTATCCAACAACATTGGCAATTAAAGCAAATTTGAGGTTAGTTTCCATAAAAATTAAAGAAAAAAAATACGACAGAGTAAAACTAATAGTGTTTCAGCTACGCACCCGTATATAATTTTTTACTTGCAAAAATGAAGCAGAATTTTACAAATATAAACATTTTAGTAGAATATTAAACTATCCAATAATATTTATTTTATACTTAATATTCATAAATTAATAAGTTATATAATTAATACATTATGTAATCAACCTTAACTATTAAATTATATTTACAATTATACTATAAAATAGTTTTACTTATCTATTAAATTAAATCAACTAATTAGGCCAACATAAACCACCGCTGTACTGTACAAATATAGGTGGGTGGGGAAGAAAAAATTGTGTTACCGATAGCCACCCTAAAATCAAATATTGGATAAGTATTTGTCAAGTACTCAAGTGTGCACTAGTGAACTACAAGTGTAAACTTGTCAAGCCATTAATTCCTTTGACTTGTGTTACATTTACCGACAATCCGCGGGAAACTGACAAGTGACCAATAATTGTACAAGTATAGTGTTCCGACGGCTTGACAAGTATACACAAGTGACAAATATTTGGCAAGTACACCAGTCGTGGGAATCCGGCTT